ACACTATATTGGCGCCTCCTCCCCCTCCAGAAACAAATCTCGTTTGTCTTGGAGACCATTTGGCGCCCCTCTGCGAGTGGTGCCCGGGGCACGTGCCCTACTTGTCCCACCCTAGCTATGCCTCTGCTGAGAGATTTTCTTCTTCGTGTGTGGGCAATAGGAAATTTTGAAGTTCCTCAAGGTCAGGCAGCCTCATAGGATTAACTTAATGTATATGGCCGCCTTTACAGTGCGTGTGGGCCTTTCTGGTAAGTGCTCTAAAGGCCACCATTATGAGCATTATAAGGATAGTGCATGTATTTATAACTGTGCTATTGCTTTAAACAATGAATGACATGGACCATTGAAAAGATGTTAGAACGTATATGGGGACATGATTTAGTTCAACCACTTTGACGCTTAATAATTAACTCCTGTGTTAAACCATCTGACTCCGATTCCAACCACTCTGACCACAGAAATTATTAGGCTTCGAACAGGGTGAACGAAATCATGCCCCCCACACAATCTAACATCCACACACATAGAAAAAACCTTGAATCTTTTGCATATCTCGAAATTTCAAGGTGTCCCAAGCCCAAAAATGTAAAAATTTGGGAGGGATCATTTTTTGATTGAGCACTACACTTTTCCTCTGTTGTATATAACAGCTGGAAAAGTAAAAATTATCGAATACATATTTATATATTACTTAGAGCATAGAAACTTTTTATTCCAAAGCTAAAAGACTTCTCTCTATCTTTATTACAACTTTATTTATTGAATATTTTATTCTGAGGTCACGTGATGACATCAGAATTTCCGGGTCTCTTTCGGTAACAAGTCTGCCCCTAGTCGGAGTCGGATGGTAAGGAAAAGTCGGAGTTGGAGTCGGTAGATTTTTACACGACTCCACAGCCCTGGTTACTAAGTAATGCAGGTACTGTTAGCCTTATCAGTTTGGAGTCTGGAAAGCAAAAATAACATATTTTTATTTTTACATTATACTTTTGTCCACTTTGGATGTTCTTGTGAACTAGGTTGTTATACTGAGAGGTATCCAAATATCCTACCTAGTTCACAAGAATGTCCAAAGTGGACAAAAGTATAATAAAGTGGGTGATTGGTTAACAAACAGTTCAGATAGCGAACAAATCGGATAACAAACACTTTCACAAAAGATTTTTATGATTGGACAATGAACACATGTTTGGATAATGAACACTTTACTGAACAAACATAAAAAGAAGCGACGGAAAATAAAGAATACTGATTGATTTTCCCTTGTCTTCAGGTAATAATTTGAAACCTTTTGGAGTGAGGGAGATGTCAACATCGACGCCAAACCCGATACCAATCGAATAATATTAATATTCCTCTGAATTTTGAAACTCTCCCTTGTAATTCCAGCTTTTTGTTTATCTTTCTGACAATTTTTTTATAGTATTTGCGAGACTGTCGCACGGGCACTTGTTAAATTTTGCGTCAGGGTTTATTTACGAAAGGTGAAAATTTAACTGTCCAATTCGTTAACTTTTAATACCAAATTTCGAATTTCATTTGGGCCTTGCATTTAAATAATTTTTTGTGGGCTAGTTGATTTCTGTTCTCTGAATTTTTGTAAGTGCTTTTCTGAACTTTTTATTTAAAAACGAAACTGATAATATTATGGAGCCTAAAAGAATGGAGTGCCAAGAACTGTGCTCACCATAGAAACCAAGTAAGATAACAGCCAAGATAGAAAGCACAAGATGTCTGATGTCTGATGTTGCTAGGTGCATGGCTTGAACAGATCTACAGTAGACACAATCTTAGCTATGAAAGATATATCAAGAAGTTTCAAGCTGCTAATGGAGTAATGAAAATCACATCTAAGAAATAAAGAGCATTTTAGAGCTCATAATGGAACCTGAAACTGATCTGACGACAGAAGAACTCCAGGAATGTCAGAACAACGATTATCCAAGTGGCATCCCAATTAAAATAAGGTTAATGGGGTTGGGTATCTCTACAATTACAATACTATTAATGAATTCCGAAAAATCCTGAAGAAAAGAGAAAAGCAATCGACATTGAACAGATTCTTTAATTCCCGACAAATACAGAAACAGAAAAAACACGACTAATAAAAATGCAAGACTGCATATATATGTATTTTTACTATTACATATAAATAAATATAGTAAAAAAGTATTTATTTTTTATTTTTTGGAGTCTCCAGAATGAATTAATCAAAGTCCCATAAAACCTATGGTAAAGTGATAATCGGTTAACGAACAATTCGGATAACAAACAAAAATCTTGGAACAGATTATGTTCGTTAACCGATCACCCACTGTATAAATAATTCAGGACAAAATGCACATAGCAACAAAAGTAACATGTTAAGTACTTACTTGTTAGTACTTAACATAGGAATCATTTTTGAATAATTTTTTTATGTATAATTTCAAATAACAGATTTTATCACGATATTTAAATAGTATTTCATGTGTTCTATCATCAAAATTTTTATGTTTTAGTCTATTGAAAAGAGATCAAAGTGAAAAAAGCCCCTACCCAAAAATTTCCCAAATTTTCTGTCAGTCAATAAAAAAAACCCAATTTGGAAATGATGGTTGGTTTAGCATGTGAAAATTGTCTTCTGTTCTCAATGTCACTTCCTACTTTCCTGCCCAAACTTACCATATGACTTCATGAAATTGCTAGGTGTATGGTGTATGGGACTCCTGTCATACAGGAACTCAACAATTTTGCTGAAGTGTGCTTTGTGATTAAATTTCATGCTGAATGTCAAAATAAGCAGACTAGGGTTTTTATTGTTAGTATTATATTTTTATCACCACTTTAAAAATTTGATTGCAGGTTTTTATGAACTGTCCATATTATGTAAATTAAATGTAAAAATAAATAATTAAAATATATCATTTTATTTTATAACTATCCTTTGTCCAGTAATAGTAATCAGAAGTCAGGAAATGTTACAGAATGTCAGAAAATTTTATTATTGATATTATTAAAATCATTTTCTGTTTAAAAGTTTGTTCAACATGTTGTAACCTTTTAAACTTGATTTCCTTCCAAGTTTCACTTGTTTAAATATTTTAATTTTGTAACACATCAATTATTTTTTGAATTCGTCACAAGTCAATGATTTTATTGGGTTGTTCGGAAAGTAATTTCATTTCTTTTATCACAAGACGGATTAGTCATATTTTTCCCGCCATTTTCATTCTAAGTCATATTATCATTATATATTTTGACAGCTAGCATTTTAATTAATTAAGGCTTATTTGTAAAAAATTTTGTTTGATTTTGTGCAATTGATTATTTTTTGTGCCCCATCAAATATGGAAGATTGAAAGCAGCATTTTTGGCATATTTTGTTCGTTTATTACTGAAAAGATAAGAATGCTGTTCAAGTGAGAAAAAAATTGTGTGACATGTATGGAGAAGATGTATTGACAGAACGACAGTGCCAAAACTGGTTTACAAAATTTCATTCTGGCAATTTCAATATTGAAGATGCACCACATTCTAGATGGCCAGTTGAAGCCAATGAAAACAAAATAAAGACACTGATTGAAGCAAACTGCCAAATAACAACACGTGAAATCACTAAGAGATTAAGTTTGTCAAATTGAACTGTTTATGATTACTTGAAAGAAATTGGTTTCATTTCAAATCTTGATATATGGCTTCCATATGTTCTTAAAGAGAGATGCTCTCTTTGATGGGATTTTAAGGAAATTGTTTTTTTGGAGCTTCTAACAAACAATTTAACAATTGATTCGAAAGTGTACTGCCATCGAGTAAACAAATTGAATATCATCATCAAACAGAAAAGGCGGCCAGAATTGATCAACAAAACAGGTGTAGTGTTTTACCACAATAATGTCAAATTTCACACAAGTTTGGTAACTGGTCAGTAACTGTTATAACTTAGATGGGATGTACTATCACACCAACCATATTCGCCAGATTGAGCACACTCGGATTATTACTTGTTCCAGTCTGTACAATTTTTTTTTAACTGTAAGACATTTACTTGAAATGACAATGTCAAAAATCACTTGGATCAGTTTTTTGTAAGCGACAAAACTTTTATGAATGTGAAATCATGCTACCACCAGAAATGATGACAACAGGTATTTGACCAAAATGGTCGATATATAATTCAATAAAAGATTTATTTATTATAAAAATATTGTGTTTTTCCCCCACAGAAAAAAAACGAAATTACTTTCCGAACAACCCAATAATAATTGTTCAAATTATTAATGTTCTTTTCTGTAACTCATGATTGGAATTTAACATCAGCATATAATCTGCACCTTCTTTCAAATACACACAATCCTCAGGTTAACCATATGAAATTATTATGTACTTGCTGCTAAGCATGAAACTTAAGAAATAATTTACGTATTTTATTTAAAATCATTTATGTTTAACTATTCAAAAATAGTTTTTAATATAATCTGCTGTTAGATAATTATAGATTTTAGGAAGATTAATTCTTTGTAAATTTAATTATATAAACATATGTTGACAAATTATAAAATACAGTACATTGATTAGTATCTAGTTTGTCATGTTAAGAAATCTGAAAAAAATACCATAATAGTAAAATTTTCATTACATTCTTTTTAATTATTGAATCCTACAAAGTTTATTTATGTTCATTATAAAGTTTAAAAGAAGCTGTGTAAGATATTTTCTTCCAATATTATAATTATACTGTTAATTTAAATATTTATGAAACAGAATTAAATGTTTAATTTTATGTATTAGAATTTTTTAATTCTAAGCATTTAAGTATTTAAGCAGTGAAATATCATATTTATATTTTATTTTTTGTTTCAAAACAGAAAAAATTAGTTAAATGTTTAAAAAAATATTAATTAGTTATGTACATTAACAACTATTAAATAAAATGGCCAAAATTTTTATAATTAAAGTTTTCATTGAAAGTTTTATGTTTGATATGAAGTATTTCATGACTAATGTTTAATATAATTTAGCAGATGGATGTTTCATAATGAGATGTTTAATAACCATATCCTGTTTGAAATTAGTGGTTGTTCTCTATTAGTCAACTAACATTTTAAAGTTCATAAATTATTGTAAGTATTTCAAATTTTTTGAAGTTTTATTAAAATTTAATATTTTTTTCAATGAAGATGTTGATATTTATATTAATTTTAACAATATAAGATTACTAAAATTTTTTGTTTACTTTATTATTAATAATAAAAAAAGCAAATAAATATAATTATAATATTAATTAATTAATTTTGCTACCAATTTCCACTAATATTGTTTGCTGAAAATAAAAATAAAAAAATACACACAATTATTTATTGTAACATCGTCACAATGCTAGGCTGCAATTTTTAATCATATTTTAAATTTAAAATATATTCTCTCCACCTCAAATTAGTAGTGGTTGCCCCTTCACATCATACTTTACTCGCTAGCAATAGAGTTGTATTGGTCATTTAACTCTTTTTATGGAAAAATTTTTGAATTGAAATAATACAACTTCCAGGACAAACTGGAAGTTCATATATAGTTAATTAGGACCTCCTGTCTCTAAGCTTTCCATATCTGGTCTTGTATTTCATCTATCTAAACTCCATTCTCGAGATTAAGGAAGGACAGACAGTGGGAATTTATAGGTCTAAGATTTTTTCAAATTGTAGCCCAATAAATGAAATATTGTTTGATTTGCTTTTAACTAGCTTTATAATAAAGTTAATAATATACAATTACAACTGATTAGGCATAATTCTTATGAATCTCTCTTTTCTTACTTTTATTCATAGGTTAGTTAATTCAATTTTGGAAAACTGAGATGATTATAAATATTTATTAATTACAATGTTCTATCATCATTAAGACATATGAAAATATTATATTATAATTATTATTTTTAACATTTTGTAATTTTTTAAATTAAAAATATTATAATTAGTTTTTATGATACATTTATTTCCACAATTAAATTTAAAAATTTTTTACATTTAGTTTTATGAAGGTGTAATTTAAATTCTGAGAAAAAGGATGATCATATTCAATTCTAATTTATAAAAAAAAAAAAGAAAAAACTGTTAACACTGAATTCCTCTAGAATGTTCAATGGAAATGTAAAGATTAATTATTATGCCTTTTTGTCCTTTTTTAACTATTTATAATTTGTTTTGTATACTAGTACTTTCTATATATTAACAGGACTTATTATATTGGAAAATTATGGATGCAGATATTTAGTCTTACAGTTCAAAATAATGTTCTTTATTTAGTTCACCTGTGAACAAAATAAAGAACATTATTTTGAACTGTAAGACTAAATATCTGCATCCATAATTTTCCAGTATAATAAGTCCTGTTAATATAAAGTGCTAGTATACAAAACAAATTAGAAATGTAAAAATGTTTTCATTTGAATTTATGATTTGAACTCTGTGGTCTGATGATAAAGTTTTAAAATTGTCTAACTATATAAAAATATTTGACTCTTCTACTATTCTTGGTGTTTAATTTATCCGAAATTCACAAGGAGTCAAACATTTTTAAAAATTGAAATGGCAGGTAAATGTATGCAGTAAGTTTTTCAATTTTTTAAAGATGCTTTTGGTTAGTTTAGACAGAGGAAAAGCTGCTAAATGAATTCATAATTGCAATTTAAAATTAACAGTAAATTTGCATTATCACATAACTTGCGTCTGCTTTAAAATTGACTTTTAAATACAGATTACATGTTAGTTATTTACTGGAAAACATGGTAGTTTAAATTTATTAAAATTTTTGTCTTTAAATAATTACTCATAGACATTATGTAAATATGCTAGTGTTTCTAAACAGCATAAAACAATGTATTTCACAAACTCAGCAGAAATATTACATTTTGAAATTTTAATAAATAAAAATTGATAAGAAAGGTTAAATATTTGCATTTTTATTAAAGATTAATTATTCACAGATTCTAATCATAAAAATAAAAAGTGTTTGATTAAATTGCTTGAATTTTATCTTATTATTATTAGTAATGATTATTAATTTTCATAATTTTCAGGATTCAAACTGTAATGGAATATGAAACCTATGGAATGTACAACCTACTCTGAGGAAATTCAGTATTGGTAGGTTAATTTTTGTACATTGACATAATTTGAATACTTGCATAATGTTACATACATTAAATTATTAAATCATATTATTGTAGATTATATAACATATAATAATAGGATCTTTTAGTTTTTCTATTATTACGAAAAATGTCTGGTAATTTTCCATCTCTATGTAATGACTTAGCTTGCACACACTGGATTGGATTTGAATGGTCAGAATTTTTTGGTAATTATTTAAATAGAACCCTGGACACAATTTCTGATCAAATTGGAAACATCATCAGATTGGAATCAGTTTTCATAGGATGTATATTTTGACTGATTCTGAAACTGTACACAGGTGTGCTGATAATTTCCTTTTATTGTATCATTCATTGCAAATATGTGCCTGTTTCTATTTGCTGGAAAGTTTTTGTTTGCAATATTGTATTTTGTTTTTATTCAAAATAATTGATTATGAGAAATTAATAAATTTAATTCAGCTGTATCCAAATATTTGTTATTTCACGCAAATAATGATATGACAATGTTGGGAAAGAAAATTCAAGGGAGGAAATCTGAAACTCTAAATAGAAATCATAAGTAATAACACTTCTGACCCTAACGTGTAGATAAAATTAGTTCTTGTTCATAAAAAGGGTTTTGATCTGACTGATCTGAGTCAATGTAGTGGATTGTGTGGCAAGCTTTAGAGAACTATTTAGAAGCCAGCTGTGTGTGTAAATTCTCTACAGTGTATGAGCTCAACAGTTAATTACACTATCTAGCATTACAGTTGTGAGAAAGTCTATGTGCAACTTAGTAAAATCAACAACAGTGATGCTAGCAGAAATTATTTTCATTTATATAAGCACTTAGGTGGCTTTTCTTTTTTGCTAGACTTATTATACCATCTATGATGGTATAATAAGTCTAGCAAAAAACTATAATAAGTCTAACAAAAAACTTTTTTGCTAAACTTATTATACCATCTATGATGGTATAATAATTTGATGGTATAATAGATATATGGTATAATAGATGGTATAATAATATGATGGTATAATAGATGGTATAATATTATTATACCATCTATGATGGTATAATAAGTTTAGCAAAAAAGAAAAGACACCTTAGTGCTCATATAATTGAACACAAGACTAGACAAGAAGCGTATTGTACAAGAAATTACTTTATTTACTGCTTATTTATTCTAAGTCTGGTAATTCTATCATTCTTACCAAGAACTATAATGACCATGTTGTCATTCCAGATTCTTGTCTCAACCACAGGAAGCTCTTTAAGTATACTGTATATATTAGCAACATTAAAGTTTTTTCCTATTTAACTTTTTGGGACTATTTTAGCTAATATAATAATAATCATATGTAGACATCCTAACAATCTTATCCAGAATCACATGACAAAATTATGCCAAACAACCGTCTAGCTCAGGGATGCCTCTTTGGAAAGAGAAGAATTCATGATTGTCATACATCAGATCATAAATACATAAACTTAAAGAAGGCCTATTTAAAAAGACCACCACCAGGCAACACTTGTAGAAAATGCCACATTAAAATGTCCAAAACTATTCAAGTATCACATCATGTCACAAACTTTTAGCACTTATAGACTACTACCATATATAGTGATAGCTCGGTTTTTGTTGGTAATCCATCTGAAAACAATCTGTGAAATCTGAAACAGAGACAATTATGTAAGCAGAGTTTAAAATCTGCTACTCATTAGCACCCCTCCCCATTAACTCCACATCTGTGAACGTCAAGAATTTGGAGAACTGAGGGGTCTTGAAGGGGAAGGAATGGCTTGGTTAGGGGATGGAGGAGAGAAGGTTCCCACTTTTCACCCTGGACTATGTGTAATGGATGTAAAATTCATCTGTGCTTGTGATCACCTTTCTTTTTAGGTCAATTATTGTATACTTAACGTTTGTGTTATTACAAATTATTTCCATATGAATCAATGTAGATCCAATTAATTCATTCTAGACACTCCAAAATACATACCCAAAAACACATTTTATAGAGAATAAATATAGTGTTTAATACTAAAAACAATAAGAAATTAATATAAAATGAATATAAAAGACTAATGTAAAGAATAAATGAATATTTAATATGGCATTTCCTTTGATGAATCTAAAAGGCAATGGAATTGGGCATATTCAAAATCTCGGCATCAATCCAGTGAGATGCTGCTGGAAGTGACACAACTGCTGGTGCTTTCTAGAGAACACAAATGCTGACCGCCAGGAATTTCAGGAGAGAAAAACAAGATGATGTCATGCGATATGAATGATGTGGACTCTCAAGTGTTGTTAAATTTATTTTTGAACTTATTTAAAGAGAACAGCTTAATGAAAAATCAATATTTTGAGAAGAGAAATAGGGATGAAGATTTTTTAAATTTCTATAGGAGTTTTAAATAATTAAATTAATCTTAAGATTACACTTTAACAACTAAAAAATTATGTCTTCTGTAAATATACTTATATATTAAAATATTCTATTAATGTACTAACTGAATATTAATTTATTCAGGGTTTATTCATTAACAAATAAATTAAATTCAAAATTTTCAACATAAAATATAGCTCTTATGAGCCTTGTGATGGTTGCCACCTTCTTTGCTGGTGTATTGAGCAGTATTGAGCACTGAAATAGATGCTTGCAGGTTGCTGGAAGAATGCTGGCAACCGGTAGTCATCAGAAATTTTGAAGAGGTGCTGGCTACACACTGAGATTTTGAATACTCCCTTCCATTGCTAGATGTGCAAGGTAATGCAAACACAATGAGAAACATTGCCACGCTGAACAGGAAAACGCATGGTTTTGCAAAATTAGCAGCGAGGTCATGTGGTCATGTCAACTAAATCTGAAGCAACTGACGAAAACCAAGACAAATTTTTCATGAAAAAAATTTATGAAAACTGAAATCAATAACTGAAGTCAATGAAAACTGAGATATTATTGTATCTAACCAAACAGCAAACATACATCAAAAGCTTGCACCAAACACATCCAAGAACCATACTACAAATAAATATTATAAAGTAATAAGTAACAGTACAAGCAGATTTGCATTGCTTTTGCAATTTTTAGACAAATCACAACTTTTCCTAAAATCACAATTTAGAAAGAACTGGATATCATTTACAAGAAAGGAATGTTAATACTGCCTAATATTATAAGTATCATTACAGTGTCTAGTAATGTTTCTTTTTCTCTAGAATTAAACACAAAATTGCTATAGAGAACTTATCATACAGGAAAACTTTCTTGATGAAAAAAAGTAGACTTCATTTTTTTCATTTATTATTTTCATGAAAGGAAATGCATTTTGGGCCATTTGCCTTTCATCAGTCTGTAATGTATAATAATGGTAAAACTGAAATGATATCTAAAGGAGATTGCTGGAATAAGTAAGTGTTTAAAAAATGTAGGGGTAAAACAAAAAAGGAAAAAATTGTTAAAATATAAAAAAATTGGCAAATAAAAGCTTAAAACCTTTTAAAATAAAACAACAAAAACTTGCTAAAGTGCCACATTTTTTAAATATTTAGTTTTTCCAGCAGTCATCTTTAATTTCAGTTTTACATTAGTATACATTAAGGACTGAGGAGGGGCAAATGGCCCAAAATGCATTTACTTTCATGAAAAATAGAAAATAAAATCTGCTTTTTCCATCAAAAAAGTGTTCTTTTATGATAAGCACAAAATTGATATAGAGAACTTAATTCTAAAGAACAAAAGAGAGAAAAGAAGCAATCAAGTTCTGAAAAAAGTGTCTAGTAAGTTTATTGAAATTTTTGATATTATTGTGATACCGAGGATCTTGAAATTAAAATGTGTTAATGTGTTCAATGAATTTTTGCATACATTTATTATTATTGTAACATAAATATCAGTTCATATGGCAGTTGTAATTTATTTATACTGTAAAATTTTACAAATTAATATTTTAAACTATGGAATTAATATTTTGATATTGTAAAGTTCAAAAAGATCACATAATCTAGCTGAAGAGGGTGCGAAAATACTGACATGTATTCTGGTAGCATTAAGTGTTAATTAAAAAAATGAAAAGGTATGTGATTTGTCTAAAAATTGTAACAGTAATGCAAATATGCTTGTATAATTACTTATTACTCATAATAGATTATAGACAGAAAACTTATAATGCACATTACAGACATTCTTAGAAAGCAATACACACAAAATATAATATGACTGAATCATAATCATAGACTAAATAATCCATCAAAATACCAGACGACATATTTATTGACAAACAAAACAAAATCATATACAAGTATCCTTCATACAACACAGCACTTCCACAACATGGTTTTGCTCTAACACTGAAAATTGGGAAAATCCCTCGTACAACATGGTTTCTAGTTTCACTCTAACATGTTCCTAAACTTTTCCTAAAATCACAATTTAGAAAGACGTTACATGCGACATGATCAAAACTAAATCTGAAAAATTGAGGTTACACAAAATTAGGATTCTATCATGTATCAAGCCTGTCTTGGGGTCACAGTGAGTAATTCCTGTGACTTAATGGAAAAGAAAGAAATGCATGTTATTTTTTTTAATATTTTTGTATGTAAGCAAATCCACAACAATATTTATTAAGTTGAACTATAATATATATAAACAATAAGAATAATTATATACAAGTTAGTAACAAATATACAGTTTAACCTACTTATAACGTCATCCATGGGACCGGCAATTTTTTGACATTATAACCGAGTGTCGTTATCTGCGGGGTCATAATTTCAGTCCCATAAAAGTATCAAGTCTGTTTAAGAATCTATTATAAAATTCATCTAATTTAATATCGTATGTATAAAAGTGCAAACTAAATGTTTAAATCAACTTTATTTACATTATTATGTCTAAATTTACAACGATGTAATTAAAAATTTCAAAAATTACCTTTATAAGAAATTTTTATTTGTCAAGTTTCGATAATGGCGGCACTTTCGGTTTTGAGAATAA